GATTGTGGAGATGAGCAAGCTGAAATTGCTAAAAATTTCAACCTCTTCTTCATTTATGATGGTGCTGCCAACTTGCTCAGTGGTGAGTCTTTGTCATCTTGATGTTGAGCTTCAGTCTATACTGAAGTCTCCATACAGCCCTTGACTTTCTGCAGCAAGAGCTTCAGGTCCTCCTTAGTTTCAGCAAGTTAGTTGTCATCTGCACAACGTAAATTGTTGATGAGTCTTCCTCAAATCTTGATGCCACACTCCTCCTCATAAAGCTTATCCTCCCAAATGATCTGTTCTGCATATAGACGGATTAGCTGTCTTGCTTCATGATTTTCTGAATCCCAAATCCACGGGATACCTTGGCATTATCTCCTTTCCATCCTGAGTGTAGACTCTGTCTAGTCTAGATTTGTGCCAGAATTACCAACCTTTTAATTAGATAGGGAATTCAGGTTTATTTAAGCCCATCAATTAAAAAAAAAAAAAGCAGCCAAAAACAAAACGGAAAACCCAATAAGCCAATTTAGTTGAATCCTTTCAGACTCCTGGTGACTCCAGTCATCACAGAGTTGTCTTCCTGGCATGAGATCTTCTTGGTAATGATCTCCAGACTATTCTACTTAGATGCCTCTGGTGAGTTTAGACGAGCTTTGAAGGTAGTAGCTGCTCAAGCGCTTGACTTTTCACACCGTCAGGGATACTTAAACCCATCACAGTGGGAGCATGAGAAGAATGCTTGAATGTTCTCTCACCTCCCTGGCTTTCCTTCGAGGTAGACAAGAAGCAGAAATTCCAGTGCAGGCAATTTTGTGAACTACACAGCATGTGCTGTTGATCTTCAAGTCGTAGGTTTGAATCCACTAGTTGCTCCATGGAGAACAATGGGCAGTCCTCCGTCAGGACTGACATCCTTGGAAAGCTGACAGAGAACTGCCATGCTCTGGGTCAATCAGCAGACACTGAATTTTGGTGGTTTGGTTGGTTTTGCTTTATAGGTTTGGAGGGGACACTCGTAGAAGGGAAGAGTGAGCAGGTTCGAGAAGGGAGCCTACGAAGGGTGAATTGTCATAACCTCTTGCCATCATGAGCAACAGCCTCACCCCACAGGAAATGCTGGGGAAGGGTTAGAACTTGCAGCTCCGTGGAAGAGCGAGGAAGTGGGGCTGTTTCCTGGTGGAGGGCTTCACCTGGGGGTGTTAATCCTGCAGCTTTAGAAGACTGCTTTATGCAGGACAGTGCCCAGGCCTGACTTTGGAGAGAGTCCCCAGGCAGAGAGAAGGCAGGGCTAGGTCTGTGCATGGCAAGTACCTGGGACACATGACTGAAGGAAGCACTCAGTCTCCAGGCTGTATTAACGGCCAGGTCCTCACCTGCGAGTCAGTGCTTCCTCAGATGTGTTCTAGACATGTTATGGTCCTCATTTCTGTCCTGGACCTGGGTGTGGCTCACAAAGATGTGACTTGGGCCAAAGGATATGCCAATAGCATCACCTACACTCCAATCCTAGAGTTTCAATCTCCATTATCTGTCCTTGCTGCCAAGACAAATCACAGTACTTTTCCATCTCCAAGTAGCCCTAAGAGTTGATGGGTTGTTCTATTCTGTCTCTTCTTCCTATGTCCCCCTTCTTTATTATCATTAGTTTGGTTTGATATCATCTTCCTTTCTGGAATCTCATCTTCCCAAGTGTCATCTTGATCCATCTTTTCTTCCTTGTCATTATTCTGTATCTTATTTTGGAAGCAGGAAGATAACAGATCTACTGCTGAAGCCCCTCAGAGAAGGAAGAAAAGTCAGGAGTCCCTCACATGCAGTCCATATTTACCGAGCACCATCCATATCCTGGGTTTGGGAGGGAGGACGGCAAAACCGTCATGGCCCTGCTGTCGAGCAGCATCTGTTCTAGTGAAGGAGACAGACAACCAATAGAGAACTACCCAGAGGTCTCTCAAGTCACAGGGCACCAAGATGACAGCATCCAACAAGATCAATATCTTTAGTCAGAAGGCATTGTTGTGCTTATTCTCCACAGGGAGGAAGGTCCAGAGTGATCATCCAAGGTAACAGCCTAGAATTTGGTGATCCCTATCTTTGGAAGCAGGAGTGGCATCCACTTCTGAAACGGTTTGCCTCCAGAAACTCTATGAACGTGGAGAAACGACAAAAGTTATACAAGTGTTCAGGTGTTTCGTTCACAGGGTCGCTATGAGTCCCCTACGACTTGACGGCACTTAACAACAACAGTCTCTGGATTATACCACAACATAAGAGGCAAACATTCTTATAAGTAGTCCAATAAAGCAACACAATGATAAGCGGAGACAAGATGGAAGTTGTTGAAAATCTAATTTGACTTGAATCGACAAGCAATGGCTGTGGAAGCTGCAGTCAAGAAATCAAATAGTATATTGCACTGGGAAAATCAGCAGCAAAAGACTTCTTTAAAGTAATAAAAAGCCAAAGATGTCTCTTTGAAGCCTACACTGTGTCTGGCCCAAGCCATGGTATTTACATTCACCTCATCTGTATGCGAAAGCTACAGAATGAATAAGAAAGACTGTAGAAAAACTTGACGCTCAGTTATGGTCTTGCCAAAGAATATTAAGATAACATGGACTGACTGTCAGAAGAAGGAACACTTCTGTCTCAGAAGAAGTACATCCGGAATGTTCCTTAGAAGCGTGAAACTCCGTTTATGTCCTTTGCACGCATTATCGAGAGAGACCAATTTCTGGAAAATAACATGAGCTATAAAGAGAAAGGCCTTCAGCAAGATGAATTGACATAGTGGTTACAACAGTGGTCTCAAGACAGTGGTTACTGCTTTACCAGGGGCTACTGGGGACAAGAGAGGGCAGTCCTTTGTGGCTTGAGTGGGTGGCTCTGGGACGGGGGCCTCTGTCTCTAGTGCCCAGGTGAGAAGATGCTCACATACCGTGTTGTTGTTTTGTGCCGGTAAGCTGCCGGTGACTCATAGCGACCCTAAGCACAATAGCTCTGAACCCCGCATGTCACAGGATTTGAATAAATATTTACAGGACTCTGTGAACATCTTTTCCCTAATGCTTCACTTGTAAGAAACCTTGCTGTCTACGTTACTGTTTTCTAAGAGAGAAATTATAAATGCTTTCTCATTAGCTTCACCATTCTTAGTCCGTTCCTAAATCAGCACAGGAAACAGCTAAGCGGAAACTTCTGCCTCTTTCTTTCTTTCCAAGCTGTCTCTACTGTCTTCTTCCTTCCTCCCAGGTTTTTTTCTTAGGCAATGTCTAGACAGTTGGGGGGGGGGGGAAAGGAAAACAAAACAAAACACTGAGCTGCACCAGAAATATTTTACCATTCAAGATCTTTTTCTTTTTTTCCCTCTTGAATTGGATGATCAGAAGAGCTGGGACCCCAAAGTGCTACTCTGTCAGTTGGTGAGATGTCCAAAGTTCCATGCTGGTTCCACTAAGCAACAGAGGACATCATGGATTCCCGTTTTATTCAGAGTAGACGCTCTATATTTTATATGGGTGACTATCTTCTTTATATTTATGGTGCTTTGAAATATGAGACTATCACTGTTTGGAACATACAACACAAACCCCTGTACCTGAAACTAAAGACCACGCCTACAGCCTTTTTCTTCCCTTCCTCACTGACGTGAACTGCACTCACAGGTGATGCCATTGTCTTTGTTCAAGCTTCACCTTTTGCTGGGACTACTGCTATAGCCTTCCCACTGGTCCTCTTCCTCCACCCTCCATACCAGTCATGCAATGATTAAGGGCTTGGCTGCCAACTTAACCTTGGGAGGTGCCTTGGAAGAAAAACGTGGTCCTGAACCGCCTACAAATCAGCCACTTGAATCCCTGTGGAGCACAGATCTACCGTTACACCCATGGAGTCACCCTGGGTTGCAATTAATGCTGGGACAAGTGAGGCTGCTCTGTTAAGGAGTGTGTTGAAGATGCTTGAATGAAATGAATTGCTGATTCTCTATCCCCACAGGGTATTCAGTAAATGCTGATTTCAATACGGTGGATGGAATGATAGATCCACCTCCCTTATTGACGACCTGAAGACAGTTAAATCCATGGCCGAGAGTGATGGTGCCAAGTGCTGAAGCAAGGGCTTTGCATACCATTACTCTACAGTGCTGTCTCCAGTATTTCCACCATTGTAAAGATGAAGGAACTGAATCTTAGAGAGGTCCGGTAACATGTCCAGGGCCCCACGGCTTGAGCAGAAACCTAGGTAGTCTAACTTTCGAGGGCTCTAACCATTATACAACAGTGTCTTCATCAAATCATTCATTGAACATGCCTGGAGCTCTGGGAAGGCTCGTGTTTTCCTCATGTGGGTTCAGTGCCTGTAAATGCCTAGGCTGATTTGGCTCCTTAGTGGCAGCCCTTCATATCAGAGCCTCTACCCCACCAGCAGTGGGATCTGGCAAAAGGCACAGCTCTTAAGCCACATCTCTTGTGCTCCTTGGAGCCTCTGAGCTGGCTACGCTCAACCATCATTTTTAATGTCAGTGCTATTTTCCTGTCTCTGTCTTCCTGACTTTCTTTCCCACAGGCTAGAACTTTCTTTCCTGTCCTGGCTGCTGCCAAGATACTCCTCTGAATCTGAGGAACTGCCAGGAACCTGAGGCCCTCTTCCTTTTACCAACCATGAGGCCTTTTCAACGAGAACCCTTCTGGGTCGGCTTCTTCCTCTGCTTGAGGAAGTCATGAGCAAGCAATACTAGCAGAGACCCAGCCCTCTGAGACTGTCCCCCTCAGAGACTTAATCGATCTCTTCATCCTAAACCCAACTTTCTAAATGCCTCTCTGACTGAGATGAGTTATGCTGTATTATCCTGACCAGGTGAGACATAGAAGTTGAAATAAAACTCCAATTTTGTCATGTGGCCCCCATGCTGGAAACATCAAGGATTATTTGATAACCAATTCCAAATAAGAGTGTTTGTCCTTTCATGGCCCCAAAACTGGCATCTTGGGGCCTTTTGGAAGGGCACCTACAGGATATAATGTTCCCGTATCGATTCTTATTGCGGTTTTCATCCTCCTTGGCCGTGTCCCATGAAGCTGTCTGCCCCTCCGGTAAAGCCTAGAAAGCAATGACAGAAATGGTTAGAGTAGCTAGAGATAGAGTTCCAGGTGTCTATGAGTCATCAACGAGATAAGATTTTGATACAAAGGCCTACAGGACCTAGACCTAGTCCATTCATGGACTTAGTCACTCATTAATTGACTCAAATGTCATTGATAAAATAGTCACTCATTTGCTCACTCATTTATTCATTCAACCAACATGTTTCCAGTATCTATTGAGGACTAAAACCTGCCAGCTACTGTTCTAGGTCTGTAGATAGTATGATAGGCAATGTCTTTGTTGAGTCTCCAGCAGAGTGAGGAGAGGGAAAAATAAGCAAACATAACCTTAAGGAGTGAAAAAATGCTATGAAGGGAATTAAAGCAGGATACAGAGAGATTAAAGGGAGCTAAGAAGTCTTTCCGATCACATGATCTCAGAAGGCTTCTCTGAGAAGGTCACCTTCAAGGTAACACCTAAATGACAGAAAAGCCAGTGCTGCCAAGACATTATTTTGAGGGCAGGAGGAACCAGCCAGAGAGACCCAGGCTGCCTCAGGCAGGAGTAAGAGACCCTATTCAAGGAATAAAGTGAGGAAAGGAAAGAGCAAAGGTGGAGCATCTGGTAGAATGAGAAGCAGTGAGATGAGACAAGGCATTTGTTGGGCATTTTTAAAGTGAGACGGGAAAACATGATACTGTTTTGAGTAGAGGAGTCCTCTGATGGCGTTTGTGTTTTATGAAGATTATTCCCGCTCTTGTATGGAATACAAGCTCTAAGTGGACCAGTGAGGAGTCAGGAAGAGCAGTTAAAATTGTTGTGATTGTTCAAGAAAAAGAGGGTGGTACCTCTGGTGGCCTAGTGCTAAGAAGCTGGCACTGTAATCCCGAAGGCACGCAGTTTGAGACCACCAGCAGCTCCACGGGAGAAAGATGGGCATTCTCCTCCCATGTGATTAACTGCCTCTGAAAACCTGCTGGAGGGTCAGCTATGGGTCAGTTCTGACTTCACAGTACACAACCACCACCACCTTGGACCTTTAGAGCAGGGTGGTGACAGTAGAGATGGCAAGAGGTGATTATATTTAGGATGACTGGTTGACTGTTGTGTTGAATTGGATTCCTCCAGAATCAGACTCAGTGGCAAGTGTTTGAATACAAGGAATCAGTTCCAAGGAACATGGCTGGAGGAATGGGGGAAATTAGCCAATTAAGGTAAGAAGGTAATATAGTGTATTGTAATGAACAGAGTACCTCCATGTTCAACTGGGATTTAATCCCATCCCATAGGCACATTTCATACCTTATAATAGTCCCTTTGGTGTGGTGAAGAAGTTGGGATAGTTTCCCAATTCCCACTCATTCTTGGTTGAGGGAAACTTAAAGAAATTTCTGGGCATATTGCTTTGTGGTGAGTCTAAAGGCAAAAATGTCACAGGTGCTTTCAGAAGAAGTATGGGAACAGAGTAGACAAGGGGTCTGGGCAGGCTACTCTAGATGTGGATTAAGAAGAATGCAGTCCAATCATCAGGCTTTGACTCAGAAAACTGAGTGGAGAAAGAAAGATGCCATTCACCGGAATAGGAGAAGAAATGGATTGTGGAGACAGAAATGAAGTATTGTGTTTTAGGTTAAATGTTTGGATCCATGCCCAGAACTTACTGAATGCTGCCTACTTCTTAACATGTTCAACATAATGATAATAATAGTAATGGCAGCCAAGCGTGAGCCGTTTCCAGTTTGAGATGTTGAGTGGGATGTTGACTTAGGGGTCCAGAGCTTGTGGGGACAGGGAGGGAATGAGAGCTGTCAGTTTGAGAAGAAGGCAGGCAAAGAGAAGACAGAGAATAAACACACACATGGAGGATTCAACAGAGTTACGAGCTGAGTGTTGACAGGCACTGGGGAGGGCACAGTCAGGGGACCGAACAGAGAGGAAGATGGACATTTAAAGGACGTAAAGCAGCTTTCATAAATCTGAAGCAGCATGAAGGCCATGCCACATTTTGATTATTCTCTCCACCCTGCATCTGGTAGAGCCGCAGACTGAATGCCACATTCCCTGGTCTCGCGTCTAAGCGTACATCTGCAGGATCTTCAGTCCACTTACCTCACTGTCAGTAGTGTAGATAAGAGGGACAGTCACTCGTCTTAATACACCATCTACTTTGAGTTCTGGTGTGAGAGAAACATACTGAACATACCATGGACCGCCAAGAAAATGAACGGATCTGTCCTAGAGAGGGTGAAACCAAGCTGCTCCATGGAGGCAAAGATTTTGAGACTCCAACTCACATACTTGGGCATGTTGCCAGGAGGGACCAGTCTTTGGAGAAGGGTATCGTGCTTGGAAGGGTCAAGCAACAGCTAGGGGAGGAAGACCCTGGATGAGATGGATTGACTGGGTAACTGGGGTGATAAGAATAAATGTGTCAGAGACAGTGAAGTTGGCTCAGGATAAGAGCAGGATTATAGGGTCGTGAGGAGTTTTAGTTGACTCAACAGCACATAACAACAACTATAATAACAACAACAACAACTCCTTTTCTGGAGCTGCCAACCCAAACACTTCCAGTTTAAGTCTACCAGTTGCTCTAAAGGAGAAAGATGGGCAACCGTTTGATTTACAGCCTCTGAAATCCCACTGGAAGGTCAACTATGAATCTTGTTCTGATGACACATACCAACTCCTTCTCATATTCATCCTAAGCAAGGAGGAATAGTAACCTGATTTGGCATCAACTGAACTGTATTTCACTGGCAGATAAGACCACTAACTGTGAAAAGACCAGAGCATGGCATTCTTCTAGAGCAAGGATCTGAGAAACTTTTCTGTACATAGCCAGACAGTGAACGGTTTAGGCTTGTGGACCAGAGAGTCATACTTGCAGTTATGATGTTGCGTGGCCATGGGCAAACAAATATGTGTAGCTGTGTTACAAACAAAACAAAACAAAACCCCCAAAACAAATCTACCCCTCTTTTTACAAAAACAAGTGATGGACTGAAGTTAGCTTGCAGGTGGTCCTTTCTAGCCTTTGTTCTCGAAACATCACCCCTGTCCTCATCTGTGTTGCAGCTGGGTGTTTCCTGTGCTGCCCTAGTCATTCCAGAGCCAGTGCAGAAGGGACGGCAGTTGTTGCCTGTGCTTCCTGGTATAACCTATGTTCTTCCACCGCGTTAGATTGATGTAATATGGTGTTTTCTCTTGGAGGCATTGGACAGTCTCTGGACTTCGAGCACCAATCTCAGCCCTTAGTCAAGGTATGATGAACGTGTTATGGGCACAGGGAAGTGCTCATTTTACAAACGTGGGGCTTGCCTCCCATTCTTTCCCCTTTCCATCTCCTCTTCCTCTCCTCCTGCTGCTACATTATGAATGGCCTTCACCTTGCATCCCTCTTAGCACCACCAGCTTGGGTCATCTTTATACCATGAATAGTTCTGGCTTTTCCATGGAACTCTTGGAACTCGGGTTTCAGCTCCATCCTCATCTTCCCACTCCATCCTGGAGCTGAAATCTTGGTTTTGATTCTCTGAAGCGGAGTGAGAGGTTTATCTAAGTGGTGACCATGGACATCAGATATTGAGCTGATCATCTGAGGTGCACTATCTACCCTTCCTCTCCTTTGGGATGAGAGCCAACTGCTCATCCAAACATACTCCCTAAAAGTGATGTGAAGCCAAGGGTAGGGTACCCCAAGTGTTTCCATGCTATCTTTTGGAAACATTATGTTAACAGTGTGCCAGGATTTGGGTTGCAGCTGGCTGCTGGTGTTCTGTACAGCTACACATTAGAGTGGGGGAGGTCCTCAGTCACCCACACCCAAGACCACACCCCAGACCAGTTCAGTCAGAGCTGAGGGGATGACACACAGGTGTCAGTGACTGCACAGGTTCTCGGATTCCAATGTGCAGCCATGATTCTTGCAACAAGGTGAGTTCATCTGGAGAAATCCTTTCCCACGCGCCTCCTCACTGGTGGCTGTTGCTTTGATTTTTTTCTCTCCACTGTAACCAGGGAGATCTTTCTAAAATGAGAACAGGACCCAGTTACTCCCCTTGTCACTTACTGTCTTTAGGATGAATTCTGAACTCTCTAATACAAGATCCTTCATGATTTTGCTCCAAATATCTCATTCTTTCCCTTACAGCCATATTCCAATGATAATGAACTCAAGGTAGGACCATGGTCAATGTCAGGTGTTTCAGCTTCTAAGACTGTACCTACAGTTCCTGCTACCTGAAATTCTCTCCTGTCTAGTTTGACTGGGAAACTCCTTCTTACCCTTCAAAACCCAGTTCAAGCATCTTCTTGTTGGTGAAACATTCTGTGCTCATCCTTTCATGGGTAAGCATTGCATCTTGATTTTAGGTTAGTCACTTCTTATTATATCTACTTTTCAACATCTCAGAATCTGAATACTCGCCTCCCAATTCAGCCAAGATCCTTTAGGGAGAAGGTGGGGACATCTGATTCGTGCTTATAGCTCCTGAATCCCAACTGACTGGACACTTCATGTATGCTTGGATCCTCACTTTTGCTTGAATGAATAAAAGCATTAGAGAATCAGGTGATGTCTGTGCATACGAAAAGCAAAGATCCTGTAATCTCAGTGGGAGGCGTGACCTGAAAAATCTTCTCATTACCTGTTCCTTCTTACTATGACCTTCTAGGGAATTGACCAGCCAATCCATAGCATCTGTCACTTGCAAAGCCCCAATGACAGAGAACACACAGCTAGCTTTCTCACTTCTGAGAGGGAGCACTGGACAGTTTTTTCTCGACCTTCCCCATCGCATGGATCCCCAAAGAATGACTCTCTAACCTATGATACTGCCGTTTTGGCTAAGTTCCTTGTCACTCTTGTTGTTATGTCCTGTTGAGTCGGAACGGACCCATAGCTGACCCTCCAGCAGGTTGTCAGAGGAAGTAGATGTCGTGGAAGGAGATTGTCTCTCTTTCTCAGAGAAGCTGCTGGTTTTGAACTGTGTTTCTTTGGGTTGGCAGCACAG